CCACCCACCCAAACCGATTCCCAATGATGGCAGCTCTGGATATCTGCCCTGACTTCACCTTATCCCTCCCAGCCTGGGCATAGCCTCAAGGCTCAGCTGAGGACCGGAGACAAGCTCCCCTGGGGGACCTGGCCTGGGGGCCCTGCTTTGTATAGCATCTTGGATGTCATGCCCACTGGGCACAGAGATGACCTTGATTGGCAACATCAGGCTCTTAGAGGGAGAGCTCAAATGGGGTATTCTCTGTGTCCCTGTCTCCCGCTGAATGTCACCCCATCTCTGGTACTGGGAGCCGAGCAAAGCCCTGGAGTTACCCGTGCTCTGACAGTCCAGCCTTTGGGTCCCCTGACTGAGGGAGTCCTTTCCTGTCTAGCCGTAACCCCAGCACCCGCCCAGGCCCTCCAGCCTCCTCCCTGCTCTCTGGTCAGATGCTGTTTCTCCACTGTGGTCCTTCCCAAGGGCCAATGGCTGTGCTTTCCCTTCCCGTAAGGAGCTCTGGTTTCTTCCCGTCGGAACTTCCCAGAGCCCAGGGCCCGCGCTGTGCAGGAGCTTAGTTCCTTGACCAGCAATCAAAACCTCGCCCTCACCCCCACCCCACCCCGCATGGAAGCGCGGTAGTCCTAAACCCCTGGACCCCCAGGGAAGTCCCCTGGGCCGGCTGGCTCTGAAGCTGCTCTCCCGGGCTCCGCCTGCACACCTTCCCTGCCCTCTGGCCCTGCATCCCCCCCTTTTACTCTTGTTCCCCTTGAGCTCCTTATCTGCTTGTCGGGGGCAAGATGGGCCCCCTTGCTCACTCCCTGCCCAGTGCACCGAAGGGCCTTATTTTCCTCTCCTGTCGGCAGCACCCACGGCAGGATGGTCTGCGCACGAATCAGGCCACAGTCAGGCAAACGAGGCAGGAGGGAGCCTGGTGGGGGAAGGGGCGGCCGGGAGGGGGCCGAGGAGAGAAGGAGTGAGCTGCTGGCTTCCCACCTTCCCCTGCTCCCTCCCCAGCCCAGCTAAACCTGCCCTGTGTTGCTGATTCCTCCCCCCAGGCCCGGCTTCTCTAAAGAAGTCAGGAAAGCTGGACTTCTGCAGTGCCCTCTCCTCTCAGGGCAGCTCCCCGCGCATGGCTTTCACTCACCACCCGCTGCCTGTGCTTGCTGGAGTCAGACCAGGTGAGAAATGGAGGGCCCGGAGGGGGGGGCAGTGGGGGTGGCAGAGGAGCCCAGATGGGCAACTGGCCAGGCAAAGGGGCCAGGGCCGACCCTGAGTGACAGCCCCAAGCTCTCTGAACGGGCCATGGTATGGCAGTGGGTGGGCATGGGAACGGGCCCTCCCTCCCACAGCAGCGCCTCCTCCAGACCCAGGCCAGACCTTGGGCCTCCTCACCCTGTTCCCCAGCACTCTCCCACTTGCTTCTCACACCCCCTGTGCGTAATGCATGCTTGTGCGCTGTGTGTGCACATGAGTGTGTGTGTTTGCTTGTGTGCGTGTGCAGGTGCTGTGTACGTGCATCGGATGTGTGTGTGCTTGTGTGTGGGGCACGGGCCTGTGCTGAGGCTTCCTCCCACTTACCCCTGACTGCAGAAGCCTCAGGCCCATTCCTGCGCCGTTCTCATCTCCTCTCTCCAGCTGTGGGTGGGATAGCACAGGCTTCTCCCTCTGCCCTCCTTTCAGCTCTTGTCTCCCAGCTCCTCACAGAGCCCGGGGCCTGCTTTCCCAGCACCAGCCCAGGTTGGTGTGAGCACAGGTTGAGAACAGTACTCCTAGGAGCCCAGGCTCCCTTCTCGGGGCCTCCCTGCTCTTTTCCAGAAGTGAAGGGCTAGGCCAAGGGGGAAGGTGGTACCTGGGCTGCTCTTCAGGGAAAGGAGCTGGCCCTGCTGCCTTGGGAGCTGTCTTGCTTCAGTCTCACGGAGAGAGTGCTTGAGGGGAGGATGCCTCCATGTCCTGGAGGGGATGGAATCAGGCAGGAAGCTGTGGAAGCTGAGTCCGCAGCCACTTGCCTCTTCCCTCTCTTGGCACCTGTCTGGCAGAAAGAGGCCTGGATTTTTTTCTGAACACTGCCCTGTGTCCTGTGTCCACCCTCTGTCTCCTGGGCCCTCCACGGAGAACACTGAGGTTTACCCTCCTGGCTTCTTCCTCAGGGCCTCCTGGCTGGGAGCCCAGAGGCAGCCAGCAGCGGGGCAGGGCGTGGTGGCCGCAAGGTGGGGGCGGGGAGCCCAGGCCCTCTGCACAGGCAGCGGGAGGGCAGCAGGCCCTGCTCGACTCAGCTTTTATGAACTCCAGAGAGAAGCCAAGTTTCTTCAGGCCCCTAATGAAACTGAGAGCAAGAGGGAGCTGATTGGAAACAGACAGGAGGGGGAGGACTTGGCCAGGGAAGAGCTGGGGCCTGCTCCAGGGTGGGAGTTGTGCGTTCGGGGGACTGTGTGTACAAGCGATGGGGCTGAGCACAGAAGAATGTGGCCTGGGCAGCAGCAGCCAGGTGCACACCCACCGCACGCAGGAGATGTGTGTGTGCACTGCAGGGGCCTCTCTTGCACTGGCGCAGGGCTGTGTGTTTTATCTGGAGCCCCACAGAACTGTCAGTCTCCTCATCAAGGCTCCCACCCAGGCCCTGGACCGGGGTGAGGTGAGCGAGGCACTCACCTCGGCGCAAAATGTCAGGGAGCCCCTGAAATCTCAGTCATCAAGATAAATTTTATTTTCATGCAATATTTCTAAAAATTAAAACTATTGCAAAAATATACGATGAGCAAATGTCAATATTTTAAATAAAAGATCGGACTGACCTTGTGCTTTCGTGACCCTCACTTAACCTCACCCTAACTCTGGCCCTGGTTCCAATCAAACTTTATTTACAAAGATAAACAGCTGGTCTGTGGGCCCCGGTTTGCCAATTTGACTTTTTAAAATATTGCATTAAAATGTCATTTATCTTGATTTGCTGAGGTATTTGGCGCCATCTTAACTTTCACACTAGCGGCCAGTGCCTCGCTCTCCTCACTCTGGTCCCTGCCCTGCTCCTGCCCATTCTCTGGATCCCAAGTGCTCTGACCAGCAGTTCTCCTTGTCTCCAGTGCCCCCCACCCCACTGCCTCCTGGGCCCTGACGATGCCCTTTTCTTCCTGCCACGTGCATGCAGGGAGCCCACGGGCCACGGCATCAGCGCTGCACTTCCCCTCCACGTCCATCATCCAGCAGTCGAGCCCATATTTCACGCACCCGACCATCCGCTACCACCACCACCACGGGCAGGACTCGCTGAAGGAGTTTGTGCAGTTTGTGTGCTCGGATGGCTCGGGCCAGGCCACCGGACAGGTGAGTCCAGAGGACCCCACGAGCCCCTCTACAGCTCATCTTTGCGTCCGTCTGTCTGTCTCAGGGGTCACAGGGAGAGGGCCCAAAAGCCGGGAGCCCACCTGGGGCTGCAGCAGCAGAGAGCTGGTAGTGCCGAACACCTCGATCTTCTGGGTCTGGGAGTAGGGGTCCACGTATCAGGCCGGGGCCTGTTCATCATGGTCCAGAGATGAGGGGGCGGTGGCTGGGCCCACTGCCCTCCTTGTGGTCTTTTCCTCCAGCAGGAGTGTACCCATGATCTGTCCAACCCGGGCCCAGGCCCCTTAGCTCCTAACACCCCTCTTAAACCTCAGGGCTGCAGGGATTTGGTAGGTTCTAGACCAAGGTTTCCCACTTTTGACATTTGGGGTTCTTCATTCTCTGTTGTGTGGGGATGTCCTGTGCACTGTGGGGTACCGAGCGGCATCCCTGGCCCCCACCCACTCTATGCCAGCAACACCGCCCCCTCCCCAGCTGTGTTGATCATGAATGTCTCCAGATTTCAGTGTGCCCTGGGGGCATCATCATCCCCCCCCAGTGAGAAGCCCTTAGTAGAGGGCAGGCCTAGTTCCACAGAGTCTTTCATGAGACTCCTGTTGGCAGGACTCTCAACAAGGGGTTCTCAGGTCAGTCATGGTTCTGGAGTGAAGTCTTCTGCTCCTCAGCCTGGGAGAGAGACTGGCCCCCCATGGAGCTCTGGGGCCTCATTCTCCTTCTCTGTCAGCAAGCCCTGGGGCCTGGTCACTGATGAGCAGAAACACAGAGCCACTCAGCAAAGGAATTATCCCAGACGGCAGTGGGCCAAAGGTGACACTTCCGTGGGACAGTGGTCCTTGTTTAGTCCCTGGGAGACCATTCCAGGTTGGGGCATGGTGGTCTCTAGACCTCTGGGAATGTTCTGGAACTCCAGCAGCATGCTGTGCTATGAGAAGGCCCGGCTCCTTTCCCCACAGTTGGTCCAGCCTGGAACCCCACTGGGAGAGATCAGATGGCGAGGACACTCAAAAGTGCCTTGGGGGAAAGACATTTGGAAGCCCACGCCAGAGGCAGCCCAGCGAGAGCAGCGGCCCTCGGCTCAGCCTGGTGCGGCCTCGGGGCGCCCTGCGCCGTGCTGGTGTATGGATTTGGGGCAGGGCCATGGCTCGGCCTCCTTGCCCTCGCTGTCTAGGACAGAAGCCAGTCAGTCTCCTTCCCTACCTCGCGCTCTTCCTCTTCCACTTTTCTCATCTTTTTCTCCCCTTTGCCCTGCAAGGGTTTCTTTTGCTGGCTCTGTCTGCAGCTCCTTAGCACACTCAGAGCTTTGCCCACCTCTCTGGACAAGCTCTGTCCACTCTTAGGGGCATGGAGGGAAAAGTGGACATGACTCCAACAGCTTCCGTGCTTCCTTCAGAGATGCCGGCAGAGTCTACGGGAGCTGCCAGCATGTGTCCCAGCCCCCAGGGGGCCTGGGGTCTGGAATATGGATCAGAGAGGCCAGGAGCCCTTCCGTGCCTGCTTCTCACCTAAGGACGCAGCTGGGGTTTGGAATCAAAATGACAGCCACCTGGGGGACCGACTTAGCCCAAAGAGCCTAAGCTGACCCACAGGACCCTCCAGAGTGGGGGTCAGTCCATCCCTGGGCATCCTGATGGCCAGGTCTTGAGCCTCCCCCTGATCAAGGGCTCAGGAATTCCCTGGAGGTCCAGTGGTTAGGACCCTGCGCTTTCACGGCCGAGGGCCCCGGTTCAGTGCCTGGTTGGGGAACTAAGGTCCCACGGAGCTGTGTGGCGTGGACAAAAAATAAATTAAAAAAAGATCAAGGGCTCACTTGGCCTAGACGGTTCTCTTCTCAAGGCAGGTGCCTGCTTGGAGTATACCGCAGACAAAAAACGCTACCGACGGGGGAGCAAACAGCCCCTCTGGTTAAACAGAGAGTCGAGTTCGGCTGGAGAGCAGTCTCTGCAGGTTTCCTCTTGTGGCCAGTTGTGCCCAAGAGTTGGGGGGTGGGGCTTGAATTCTGCAGTGAGTCTGCTCCATTGGGCCCAGTTTCTGAGAGGAGGCTAGAGATGGCACCACGCTATGGAGGAGGGGCGAGCCAGAGAGAGGCCCTGGGCTCTGCATCTGACCTGGTGGCAGACGGTGGCGGTACAGGGCTGTGCTTGCTCCATGGCCACCTCCAGAGTAGTAGTTCTCAGTCTTAGCATGTATGAGAGTCACTTGGAGGCCTCACTAACACACAGGTAGCTGGGCCTCACCTAATTCTCATTCAGCAGTTCTGGTGTGGGGCCGAGAATCTGCATTCCCCCCCCAAGTTCCCAGGTGATGGCTGCTTCTGGTCAGCGGACCCACTTTTAGAACCACCGATCTAGAGACTAGAGGAGTGAATTCCTAATCTCCTTGAGAATCTGAAGTTATGGATCATCTTTGCAGAAAAATATATGCATACAAAATTTACAGACCACTTGCAGAATGGTTCCCAGGCACCTTTTAGACCTCAGCATAAGGCCCTGATTGAGAAAACCACATCGGTAAAGGCCAAGGTCAAATGGAGACACCAGTTAGAGGACATGCAAAGGGCAGAAAGAGGATACCCGGTTAGCTGTATTTCTGTCGTGGAGAAGAGACCACCAGGTGAGCACGATGGAGAAGTTGCAGGGCCTGATGGCAGAGCATGACTCTGGGAGCCAGAAAGCCTGGTACCAGCTCAGCCTTGACCACCAGTGCCAGAATGGCCAGGCCCGCATCTTCATCTGTGAGATGAACGTGAGGAGCTATCCCAGCCCCTAGGTTCCTTCTAAGATCTTAACTCACCACGTCTTAAGGCACTGCAAAGTCACAAGACCTTGAGATTTTTAAAACCTCAACTTATACCCCAACCAGAGCTGAGACATCCTAGCCTGGCTGGGACTTGCTTCTAGAAACTGAATGTTGTAAATCAGCAGGTTTCGATGTCTGGCCATATTGGGCTAGGATTTGCTTTATTGGATGGGATTAGTGATTTAGATCCTCCTAGGGAGAGACAGGCTCTGAGGAACCAGAGGCTGCCCTATGGGAGCAAGGGCTGCCTGGAAAGCTCCCGGGTCCCAGCCCCCCTGGAGCCCAAGCTCAGGACAGCCCAGAGAGAAGAAATGAGGCTGTGAATCTGTTGGGATCATTCCATTTCCTGCCCTGATGGAAGAATGAGATAGGAACAAGATAGACTGTGGAAATGAGGGAAGGCAGTTTCCACGTGTATGTCAGAACCACCCTGCAGAGCCGGAAACCCTTGCCCTATGGCCCGTGCTGTTGCTTGGAACTGAAAGGTCCATTTCCAAAATGACACCCAGCACAAAGGGTCTTCAGCCCAGGACACCAATAAGCACTAGAAGCAGCCACTGCTTGCTTTTGTCCCGGGCCTCTAAGTGGGCAGGAAATATCAAGTCAAGGGAACCATTTGGAGGGACAGTGTCAGACCTAGGTGACTGGTCATTAGAGGTGAAGGAAGGAGGGTGGGACAGCAGAAATTCCGAAGGGCATGGCCTGCGCGGTTCAGCCATGGGGCTCTATGGGTTTAAAGTG